GCGGAGTATCTGGGGAGCTGGAAGATGAGAACTGGCGACGTGGTAGTAGAACTCCAGTAGGCGGAGGTGACAATGCTCGACTTAACACTTCACACTGCACACTTAACAGGTAACTCGCACTCTGACTTCCTACGTGATGAAAAATGCTTTCGGGCCACTCGTCGTCTAGTTTAGCTGTTCCTCGTTTTCTAAAACCTCCTCCCAAACAAAAGGGCTGCTCACAAACCCCCTTTTGTCTCCAAGTCACCAGGCCGCCTCACCCAGACCGATCCCGAGGCTTGGCGCTTTGGGCCCTGGCGGCGGCCATCAAGTCGCCGGCCCTGCAGGCCTTCGCCATTGCTGCTGCGCCGGAGAACCAACGCGGCGCCGCGCTCTCCGTGCCGAAGACGGTGGGAGATCTCAGCGGCTCGGCCGGCGCGCGCCAGCCTTTTAGGGGCGCCATTTTGGTCGCCTTTATTCTTGGATGTTTTTCTTTAGGTGCCACACACCATACAGCCATCCCCAGACCGATTTCGGACACAAAATTTTTCTGAATCCACACATCCACGTCGGGTCGCGATGTTCTCCCTCGTAACCGAGGCTACCTCATTGCGCCGTTTTTGCTCGGAACCCTCGACGACACCTTTGGCCCGGAAGCTGCGCTGACCTGCTGCGCGACCACCTTCCTCTTGGGCACGCTGGCCTTTGCCGTGCGATCGGAACCCCCGAAGTGAAAAAGAAACGAAAAGGACGCAGAGCGCGAGGTCGGCAGCGGGGTTCTCAGTGGTCGGGAAGAGGGGCGATGGGTCTTTCAGTGTTCCTGGAACTCGCCATTCGGTTGTAAACCCAGCGATTTGATATCCGCAAAAGCTGAGAGTGATGTGCATACATGACAAATACAGCCAAGGCCCTTCATTAAGCTCTTCTGAGTGACATGTGAACAGATGAGGGATGTTTTGGTCCATGTTCTTGCAGCCTTAAACCTCAAAAGAAAGACCCAGTTCACTGCATGGGCATTTTTGGTCGGCCGGAGTACCATTCAGGAGGTAGAGAGGTTCAACTGGGGTGCACCAGATTGTGCAGGACGTTCTGCCTGACCATCAAATCAGATGGAGCATGTTGTTGAACTCTTCCAGTTGAACTGCCCATGCCCCACAAACTCACATGGCAGGTGATTCTGGGGAAGAGATGAAGGTTGTGGAAGCGACCAAGGAGTGTCTCGGCGCCTGTGACAGCCGGATTACCGGGGGCCTTGCGTCGGACGATGCGAGTCCAGAGTTCAGGGGCCAGAGAGGTGAAAATGGTTGACCCTGGTGTTGCGTAAGATCCTTAAGGGTTGTTAGGCATGACCGGTCAGACCTAGTTAATGGTTTTCTTGGAGTCCTACGAACTATGCGTTTTGCATGGTTGGACAACGCATGGAAACCACAAGAAAGATGAGCCAAGAGTCTTCACGCGAAAGAATCAATGATCCTTTGTTCTTTGGATCCGGTGTGTCCCAGGAAACCAATAACAACCTATCAAGAATCAATAATAAATATCACTCACTATGTTTGAGAAGGGTCTTTGCTAATCATCATCATCATCATCATCATCATCATCATCATCATCATCATCATCATC